ACTTTCTATTCCTTACATTTTTAAATCAAGTGTTACTCGTTACTCTTGGCTTCGGTTTAAAGCAGAGGTCAGGGATTAGCGGACTGCGATGTTATAAACAACATTAAATCCATAGATTGTGTCCATAGTAAAGCTGATTTATTTGTTGTAGTCTCTTGTTATTCACACACAGCAATAAACAGTGATTACTGACGTGGGTTTTAAAACTGCAAAGCTTTGCCTTCAGCTGAAAATCAAACGCGCATCTACACAGACCAGTGAGGCATTCGCGAGCGTCAGACAGCTATGGTGCATTCAGGAGCATGGGACATTTCAGACTTACAAGGAAAGAGACAAAAACAGAACGTAACTCATACAATAATGTATTTATTCAGAAACAGTGTGGGCTTTCTTACAATGCTGAATGCTCTATAATTGTATTTCTGTTATTGATTATTCACATCTGCTAGCTTTTAATTCTAAAAAATCTATAATATTACAGCAGCAAATTATCAAAGTGTTTCAAAAGCCTGTTTAAAAGCTCCAAATGAGGCTTCGGATCGTACAGTGACAATAACGCTGTCATTGTTTTACAGGTAGAATTAGCATTTACTGACCCTTGACCTTTAACTACTGATGGATATACAGGAATACAGTCAAACAAGTACAGATAGAACAGGATGCAATATTTGGCAGTTTCTATTTTTATTTTTTCATCTTTTTTTTTTTATTCAAAGTAATATGAATGCATAAATACGTCATTTTATTTCAGTGTTAAATTCTGTTTAAAGTAACAGATCATTAAAAATGTCTCCTGACATTAACTGGTTGATTTTCTTTATTCAGACCAGCTGATTTTTTATTAGTTCCCCCTGGTTTAATGTTTATAAATATATATTTCATGTCATGGATGAGTCATAGAAGGCAAACATTCATTGGTTAGCTAAAGGAAATCATCAGAAGCAAGCAGGTGTTCTTCAAACTGCTAACGTGAATTGTCTATGCCATGCTACAATGTGGGATTCAGAAAAAGATGTTGAAATGTCTGAAAGGTCGGACACAGGCGGGAGCGTATCCGGAGGCGGAGACCAACATATAGTCGA